TTACATACCTGCTAACTTATAAACTTTTTGAGAAAATCTTTTACAGCAGTGACAAAATTTAAATTAGGAGGTATAAAAGATTTACATCCTTTTAAAATATGTAATTTCACCTGAAAATATGCAAAATTTGAGCATAGTCGGTTGAATAGTTTCTGAGAAATCGAATTTTAAATATATACAGGAACAATTCGATAGATTTAGCTCGATTTTTTTTTGTGTTTAATTTCGTAACTTAAATAATCGCCTGCACTAATTAATGAGATTACCCCTTCGAAAAATTAAGATTGAGTTATAAAACGTAAAAATTCAATCATTAGATCAAAATCTATTCAGAGTGATCTGTCTCATATTTTGCACACTATACATCGAGTTCTGTGAACAAAATGTTCCTAAATTCACTCCAAAGATATGATGAAAAAAACTGCGAGTCTAGGTTTTGAATCCTCCCAGTTTTAGAGCGAGTACCAGCCTGTCTAGGAAATAAATGCGGTTGGTGCACAATGCTGATTTTATTTTCACCATCACTCCTCGTTAGTCATAAATCGTGGAGTCTTAATATCGATGACCCCCTAGCTCACAAGAGACAGTTGTGCGAGTTTTTTCTGTATATAAATATTTTAAATAATGGTTGTCGTAAGGTTACATGCTTTCTGGGCTGGGTTCGACCCGTCATCGAACAAGCCCTTATCATCCCGCAGGAAATGGTCAAGTGGAAAGATTTCATAGACAGATGAAGAGAGCGATTAGAGCCTACAGTACAAGTCAGTGGACCAGAGTTTTACCTACCATTATTTTTGGTTTTAGAGCTGCATGGAAGGAGCACTTGCAAGCAACGACAGCGGAAAAGGTTTATGGAGCTCCGATACGATTGCCTGGAGAATTTTTATGTCCATCTACTGGTACAGCGGATCCCGCAAACTTTGTTGGAAAGCTAAAAGAGACCATGCAGGAGTTGCTGCCAGTAAAGTCCAGACATCAGGGTCATAGAGCAGTTTTTGTAAGTAAAGACCTTTCGTCGTGTAGTCATGTTTTCCTGAGGACCGATGTCCTGAAAAAAGGCCTGCAGCAACCATACGAGGGTCCATTTCAAGTGCTGAGTCGAGGGGAGAAGGTTTTTAGGATTCTAATTCATGGCCGGGAAAGCACGGTAAACGTGGATCGTCTAAAACCAGCATATGTATCCCAAGATGAACAGGACATATTTCCTAAAAGCAAATCAACTGCTATGAGCGAATCTACAGAGGAATCTATTATCCCAGAACCTGGTGACACACCAAACGAGGTTAAGACAAGACCAGGCCGTCGAGTTAAGTTTCAGGGAAAGTATCAGCAATGAGCTGGAAAAGTCTCGCTAGCGCTGGTAGGGGGCTACTGTAGAGGCTGTTGGTTGCGACAGCTCAGATAGCATGAAAAGCCGAGGTAGAAGGATCGAGGATTGGATCGAAGACCGAAGGTAGGAGGACGAACCGAAATAGTTCCTGCGCGGATGAATACCGGCGGAGGAGCATCAACCGGCGGCCAAGGCAGGGAGTGAAAAGGCTGATGTCCAGTACTTAAGCAGATGACAGTTTGCCTTCGAGAGGGGAGATCAGCTCACGACGTGATCGAGTAAAGACGTGTTTTATCTCTGCTCCGACGAGAAATGCCTTATCAGCGAACTGCTCGCGGCGGGAAGGTTCCTTCCGTCCGCAGTAATGTGCACTTTCTACTTGATTATGGTGCTGTTGAAGCTATCTTAGAGGACAGTGGATTACCAAGACCATATTTTCCACCACCGACTTACTCCACAGTAGCGTCTCACATCATGAACCTTGAGAGCAACGCACATAGCTTGGATATCTACAAAAGAATCAGGGATTTGGCTCTAGATTACAAAGATGACCCTAATAAACGGATTGAGTTTTGCTTTAGTCTTCTCCACGAGGCTTCAACTAAAGTAATAGAGGATAAAGAGCGACAAATTGCTGAACAAGTAGACATCTCAACCAGCTTAGTTGAACAGATACCCGAACCAGCACAACTTTCCGGCTGCAATGCCTCAGTTCCACCCATAGCTGAATCATCTGAAACACCAGAGACTGTACAGAAAATGGAACAATAAGAGACCCCGGTCTCTATCACGGAATTCCAATCTGACCCCCCGAGTGAACCGCCAAGAAAGAGGAAAAAGAAGAAGAAAAAGACTGACAATGATGCTAAAGACTTTATGACTACCCCGAACCAAGACTGCTCTCCTTCAGAATCTTCTGCCCAGCCGGAAATCACGACTCCTACCTCATCGGAAACGGTGCCGGTAGATCAAGACCTAGCTCCCGCCATCCCAGCGGATCCAGTTCCGGCAGACCCCGAGGAGAAAACCGCTTCGGTTGAAGCCACTCCCACCACAACTATGGACACTCCCCCCAACAAAAAGCTGAAAACCCTCATCAGAGGACTACAAGCAGATACAGATATCCCAGTCTTAGAAAGATATCTCATTGAATTTGGACTTCAACCCGAGAAAATTATTCAGCTTTGAAGAAGAAGTGGGCAGGAGCTTAGGCCCCTCCCACTTTTCCTCATCATCCAAACTGACACGCCCACCAGCAGAAATATCTTCAACATTAGTTCCATGTTGGAGAAAAATGTTACAGTTGAAGGATTCAGAGGAGGACGATTCCAAACGCAATGCCTTAGGTGCCAGAAATATGGACACACCCAGCGCAACTGCCAAGCCACCGAACCAGCCTGCATGAAATGTGCTGAAGCGCACTACACGTACCTGTGTACGAAACCCAGATCCACTCCTGCTAAATGCATAAACTGTGATGGTGAGCACCCGGCCTGTTTTTCGGGCTGCGGTGCAAGACCCAGGAAAGCGCCGAAACCAAGGAACTCTCATCCCGTGAAAGCTACCGACAAAGCCACCAGATTTTTACAGCTCTTCAAGGAGATGAAGGACGAAGAGCTTCTTAAGCTTCTTCGTTCCTTACTTCCAGAGTCCCAAAACTGATGAAGGACTCTTTTTCTCCCAGGATTTTATCTATCCTGACGTCACAGCCCACCGCTGTGAATTTCTTTTTTTATCCCATTTCTTATAGGATACATGACTAACAGATTATGACCTACTAGAAGCGATGAATCAGTTGGTGGCCCTTCGGGCCAAATACTGAGATTGAATTAATATCAAGCATCAAGCAAGCCTTCGAGAGGGTTGTTGTGCAGCGTCTGAGATTTCGTACCGATATTCCGTTTCTACCCGGTGACGCCCACCTGCAGTATGAGATGTTTACAATCAAAAGTTTAAGTTTTTAATTGTTCTTTTAATAACAACTTTTAAATGTTTTTTAATGAATAACCTGTTAATTGAAGTTTGTGAAGTTTCTTGATGGGTTGTTATCTTTTACTATTAAAGATGATGTTTCATTGCCATATAGTTTCATTTGACGTCTTACATTCCCATCACCAAAACATATACATATACAATAGCGTTAAAAATGAGGAAATTCGAAGTCAATATTATGAATTACAATAAGGACCTATATCAACCCTTAATATTGACCCATAATATTCAAATTTTACCACGTATTATATTACTAAGTACTAGTGTGCTTTAAAGGAAGAAATAATTATAGGCTTAATAGGGGGCCCACAGAGTGGCCCTATAGGTAACTATGTATGTAGACATATGTCTTATATAATAGGGATTTGGTATTTAATATTTATAGTGGTAGTTACTCCGCATTACTCCCCTTCCAGAATTTTATCTGCGATAGAATTCGATAAGCGAATACCACCAGTTGATTCATGCTGTTTATTTATTTATATCAATTTTACCCATTTTTTTCCCTTCATTTTTGTTTACAGCATTTCGCTCATTATCATTTTTTTTTCTAAATATTGTTTATTACCGAGAGTCTTTTTACTTCACCGGATTTTTCTTTGAGCTGTATATTTTTTTTAAGCAAATCAACTGTTTTAATGTGGACCATCCATCAATGTTGGCTAGTTCGCATCACGTCCGCTGGTCACCATTGAAGGCATTTAATTATGTCAACCTTCATCTATAGATATATATCAGAAGGTACCTCAAGATAGAACCAAGTTAACATGTCTTATATACTATTGATTTGGTATTTAATATTTATAGTAGTAGTTACGCCACATATTTATACTTAAATTATTACTTAATGGCTTAAACTATTACTTAATTACTTACTTAAATTACTACTTAAATACTTTAAATTATTACTTAATTAATTACTTAAATTATTACTTACGATTCACTTTAAGTAATAATTTAAGTAAGTTGCCTTTAATAATTTAAATAGGGTTGAACAGTTAGTTATGCAATAAGTATTTATTTAGAATAATTTTGTATTTTTATAGAATTAAACATCATAAATAAAATATGGTTTTATAATATGTAATTAAAATTGGTAATTGTGATAAAGTTTGATAATTTTATCATGATACCTCAGAGCATGGCCTAAAATTAATTAATTCACTTTAACTCACTTTTCTGTTGTATAGGTGAGTTTGAAGGATTAAAATATTTAAATACTGTTGTGCATTGCATTCGGCTTGATTACCATTAAAGTTTATATATTGTGCAGGATAATTTTGAAAGGTGACTGAGCTTCTCGTCAAAGGCGGCTAGTATAAAAATACCTTACATATATGCTCACCAATAGAAATTACCTAACTTCTTTTCCTTATAAATGCTAAAACTACAGCTAAGAAAAAAAATATTACAACTGGATTTTGCTCTTTTCAGTCTTACTTAACTCATAGTTATTTTCAATTTCTGTTGGAATAACTGTGGAAGTTTCACTTTAAAATTTCTTCATATAAACAAATTTACTTTCGTGAAAAACTTCACAATGAAAATATAATTATGTATTACACAGTTGAAATGAATTTTCTCATAAACATTGTACTATATACCATATCTATCAAAATACCCAAGTAGCACCTAATATTAGCTAACATCAGAAAATTGGTAAAATCTAACGTTATCTTGCACAACTTCTAATATTAGAAAGATACAAGAGGTCGCTGTTTGCTCTGCATTATATAATATTAGATTCTATGAAAACTAATATTCTCTAGCGTTCGCCGTAATATTATTTTGCATTAGTTTTCACGCTGTATAATATTAGATTTATTATTTTCTGATATTATCTTGCTTTGCTCTTTATTTTTGGAGAAAGCGAGAGGAGGATATGGATGGTAGTAGAATAATTCGGCGATATAATTTTACTTAATTTTCTGTATTGCTGTGAAGCAGTAAAACCTAGAACAATAGTTTTATAATGTCATTCCATGCATTATTTACATAGCAATACAGAAATACTAAATAACATTATTTTAGCGAACTCTGCTACCATCCATTTTCCTCCCTCTTACTCCAAAGTATATATCGTATGTTCTGCTGATTTTTTTGAATATTTCAAATTTATTTAAGAAATAATATTATATCACAACTTTTATTGATATTTTTTTCTTTTCTTCATACAATGGGTTTTCAGACAAATTTTATGTCATTAATAATTTTCAAGTCTTTAATTTTGATTTTTTTCTTAATTTTTTTTTTTAAAAATGAGCTTATTTTATCAAAATTTCAATTGAATTTGTTAGTTTGTAATATTTATATATATATATATATA